ACACCGATAAATCTAGTGGTTAGTTCACTAAATATTACGGCTAGGTGGCGTTAGCCGGCGCCCCATCTAAAGGGTACAGCCACATCCATTCAGCAGCGCCTTCTTTGCCGCGTTTTTTTTTTGGGGGGGGGGGGGGGGGGGGTTGGGTAGTTCAGAACTCTACCCTTGTTTTTCCAATTACAAAAAAATTCATAGATACATGGAAGCTGTGCTGCGGTGGAAATTTCGACAAAATTTGCACAGGATACTTCGTTAAATGCACTGCCCATTTGTAAGAAATGAAATTTGGTCGCATCTGGCGAAGCAATTTTTGAAGGCAGCTGAAGTTCCACCAAGTTCAACTGCAACTGTGTATGGAAGCTAAATATGATATCATTGGATTGATGCTCAAGGCTTAAGGAAGGCTAGCGCCCAAATAAACACCCAGGTCATTATCATCAAATTCCCGTCAAACATGTTCTGTCACTTCTCTAGCTTTCTCACAGCAAGCTCATGCATATAGTCATATTTACTGTGCCTCACATTATAAAATAACCTAACCTTACGAAAAAACTTCAGCTGATATACCATGCGTTGTGGGAATCTGTTTCATGCAAAGTAGTAAGAGAGTGGCTGTATATGTTGCATTTTTTTTGTCGCTTCGAGCTAAATGTTACTAGGTGGATCAACGTGCATGTTAATGAAGCAGGGTGCAGGTCGTACACAAGCCATGCACGTCGGCTACACTGATGTGGAACGGGTAACTTATGGTGCAACGTATGCAACGCCAGCACTTATGTTAAAGCATAGGCCTTAGTTTTATTGAAAAAATGTGCACACTATGGTGTGATTCACATTTCACATTGCTCAACCCCAGAGCCATAAACTAATTATAAGTGCTACATACAATATTAATATAATTGCACACTACAGAGCGATGCTGAGATAATAATATGAAGTATTCATTAGCGTATTGCTCTGGGGTCGAGCAACACTTGAGTTTAGCTTGCCGAGTCGCAGGAATACATATGTAATGTTTATTCGACTGCTGTAAAAGTGGAACCAGCACTGGAACGGAAATTCGCATCAAGCCAACATGATGTCTTTATCATTGGAGCAATGTACATAGGTTTTGTTTATTACATTGTTAAAAAATTATATCTCCTTCAGGTGCGATTCATGATGCACTGTCTGCAAATGCCTCAAGATTGCACGATTCTAAGAAATTGATTGATATGTAGGGTTTAACGTCCCAAAACCACCATATGATTATGAGAGACGCCGTAGTGGAGGGCTCCAGGAATTTTGACCACCTGGGGTTCTTTAACGTGCACCCAAATATGAGCACATGGGCCTATTACATTTCTGCCTCCATCGGAAATGCAGCCGCCGCAGCCGGGATTCGAGCCCGCGACCTGCGGGTCAGCAGCCGAGTACCTTAGCCTCTAGACCACTGCGGCGGGGCCAATTCCAAGAAACTCAGTAGTATTACATTTCAAAATAAAAAATAATAAATGTGTTGTTTGGAAGAGAGTTTTAATAATAATATTGATTAGCATGTAATTGAATATCTAATTATCCTTCAATCCTTGCAATAAAAATTCTGATAATAGGCCCAAAATGCCCGAAGAGTTTGTTTTTGTGCTGTACTCAATTCAAAGAAAAAAAAAAGTCTTGCCAGTGGTCCTGGAACTGCGCATGTACAATCGTCGAACGTGGCAGTGTCTGCAGCTATATGATCCTCTGCAGCAATGCGCAGCACAGTGAAGTTGAATGGGTATCACAAAGTCTCCACGAATGTGCACATTGCGTTTCAAGTCACGTCGAAAAACACTCAGTGTTTGATGCGTCTCCAAAATTTGCGAGTACAATCGTACACATGGCACCTGAAGAGTATCTAGCCAGCATTGCAACCAGAACTGACGCTGTGGCTGGTTTAGAGGGGGGGCGATTGTTCCCGCCTCCTAAATCTGTCTCAGCTACCCCACCCCTCACTTGAGTGCTGGTAGTCCACGTCCCATCACCAATTAGGACTAATCAGTGATACCACTGTGAGCACACATATTTATGCTATGAAGCGGATCTTCTGCCAATAAATTAACAAAAAGTCATGACCACACCCCCCTCTCTGATGTTACTTAAAGCGACCCCCCCCCCCCCCCCTAAATTGAGTAGCTGGATGTCCCCCTGAACTGACATTGCCTGGACATTCCTCTTGCATGAGTTATTTTTCCACAGAAGTTTAGATCTGGCATGGCTCTGTGGTGGAATACATTATGATGCAAAGTGATGACTACTGCTAGGATCCCAATATTTATTCATTGCATCTGTGCAAATGATGCTGCATTTTTTTTATGCTTTCATATCTAAATTACCAGTGTCTGCTCCTTAGATCGGCGAACTCACTCACGAGTCGACTCACTTGGATTCACTCAGACTCGGACCAAGCCACGAGTCCAAGCGAGTTCGGTTTGGGAGAATGTTAGCGTGTCGAGTGAGTCCAAAGCACAATATACTATATTTCTTGAGTCAGTCTGGGTGAGTTCCACTTTCTTTTGCCACACTAAGGTCTGCTCTCACCGTTCCTGGTTTGATATGAACAGTGAATCACCTGTGGTATACTGGTATACACCTTACTTGGCTGGGGTAGAGGGTGTCTTCATGCACACACCAGGATTTTCGCTTTATTCATGTCATGAGCAGTCATGTTCATCGTATCCTCATATCCCCCTGCACCAATTTCGGTCACTGACAACATAAAGGGACGGCCAAAAGAGTGCCCCAACAAAGGTGGTTGGATAGAGAGACAGATACATCAGTAGGAATGCTCAAAGTGCCTTTGATTCGCTGAAAAATACAGTTAAGTGCTGGGCGGTGGATTATCACAATATGCTTCCTTTCAGTTTTGTTTTTACCTTTTTGGTAGGGACTCTCATACATCTTTTTTTTTTGGCTATCTTTGCTATCCAATAAATCTTCTCCACCTTAGCGATTTTGAACATGACGAGTGTTCTTTGTTGCCATATCAGCTTTGCTGCTGGCCACATACTTTCTGGTAGGTGGGCCAGCCTTTTCTCCACTGTGAGTGAACGCCCACCCTATACAAATATCTAAACACACAATATTTCATGTGATGAAATTCCGGCCAGGGCTACCGCATTTTCGATAAAGGTGAAAATGACAGAGATTTCGGTGCACATTAGAGAAGTGGTGAAAACTTCCACAACCCTTCCTTACGGCGTCTCTCATAATCATATGGTGGTTGTGGGACGTTAAGCCCCAACAACTATATTATATTACTCTCCTCAAGCATAGTAGTTCGGTAAAAACAGTAGACCTCCCTCAGCACTTGGCACTAAGACTCGCCAAAGATTTCAGCTGTACTCCCACAGAGTCACTCAGGCTCCGAATCACGGCTCGTCGAATCTTGAATGCCTTTGCTTACCAATGTTTATGTTCTCTAGTCTCTCCACAAACTTATTGATTTGAGTATCTGTTACTTCAGAGCTTGCCCAGCCCATATCAGCATAATTTGTAGCCTTCCCATGAATGCCCAATTCAAGGTGCCCCCACAGTCCTCCGATTCATGCCCAGTCCTGACTGTATAATCGACCTTAAGTACACCAATGCATTTTCAAATTAAAGTCCTGGAACTGTCACACCTTTCCGCAGACGTCAAATCGCCTCATACTTATCGTAATCCCAGAACACTCCTTGCTTCTGCATTCCTCATTCCTTTAGCTGTCGAAGCTTTTTCCTGAACTTCCAAATGTCTATTAATTTCCCTTTACTTACCCATAAACAGAGGGATATACTTGTATGATTTGCCCCTTTTCTGGCCCTGTATGAAACTGGTGGCACAGGACCATTGTACCTAAAAATAAAGGCAAGCTTCTTTTTATTTTACGTAGGTCAAGTCATCGCCACACATGCCAACGTCTTTTCATTTGATCTATATTTAACGATTCGCGGTCACTTGATAATAATGGTTTTGCTTTTCGACTCTCTCTCTCTACACGAACATGCATGGATTTATTCTGTGGCCAGCGCCAAGACACTTGGATACCCATTATATGTAATGATCGTTGCAGTTTAGCGTCTCAAAACCACGATTCGAGTTTGAGACATGCCATAGTAGAGGGCAATAAAAATTGTATCGACCTCGTGTTCCTTAGTGTGCATCTAAATACAACTACAATGGCCTCAAGCATTTTGAAAATGCGGCTGCTGCGGCCGAATTCTCAAAGATGAACAGCTGCTGTGGTCAAGAAACAGAGCCGAGATACCCGAACGCTGGTACACTACGCTTTTCGAGCAAAAGTACACAATCCACTGCAGTGTTGGAACTTATGAATTCTGGTGTATGTTCAGACTTGAGAACTGAGCACCCTGCATGAATGAAAGTATATTGCAACAGATAGTCCTACAATTTGTTGCAAAACTAACTGCAATAGTCTATTTAAGTACATGCACATACTGCTTCCTGGAATCTCGTTCCACATAACAGGAGCTCCGTTTGAGATAATTAAGGCTGCCAAATACAAGTACAAAACCGATCCTGTTAAAGGCACTTGTTCTGGTGAAGCAGCAATTCCATTCCAAGACATATTCACTCACCGAAAGCCTATTGCATCACTTTTTCTAGCTTGGTCCAGTAACAGTAAGAAGCCATTCGACTAAACTAGATAATGTAACCATGTTGTATGAACTAGTGAACTTTAATTATGCAGCATAGGCTAGTTTTAATTGTTTGGCAGGGTTACCCCAAGCAACTACTTCAACAACACGGGATTTTGCACTATGCTTCAATGATCAGAACGTTGTCTTGCCGATCGTTTATCGCAAATTGTAAAAATTTTCTAAAAATGTAGCCCAATGCTACAAGTCTGACTTGGTGCAATTGGTGCAACTGTTGCATCTCTGTACATTGAGAGCTTCATATAGTGTTCTATGTACACCACATATATTTACCGATATGCTAGAGTATACTAATTAAGGCAAGAACTGGAACAATACAACCCTTTGTTTGTGGAATACAGGAAAACATGTTTATTGGGTTCACAATATTACATGATTCTTGAACTTTCACAGTAAAAAACAAAGGGAAAGAGATGCACAACAGAGATCGTAACTGTGCATACACTTGCACGCCTTCATATATTGCAATACAGCACAGGAAATACTTTGCAAGAACTGTGGGATGATGAATAAATGCGACGCAAACTATGTTTCAATAACAGCAATTTTTGGATGCTACAAATGTACATAGTGACCAAATACTCAAATATGTAGAACAACTACTAAGTGTCGGCAGATATATTAGCAACACTCAGGCAGATCTGGTAATGCTTCTATATAATATGCAGAAAAAAGTATACGCTATATGAATAATAATGAAAATAATTAAGCGGACTTATTCACAACGGGATGATGCAAAAAGTATCGTATAAATGAGATTAATGAAACTCCTGAAGCAAACAACCAGGACGTTAACCCGGCGAGTGATGAGCAACTCATAGTTCTCAGGAAGAAACCGTGCGACTCTCTGAACCTTTGAGCAAACGCGCCCCGAATTTCTTGCTTCAAATCCTAAAATTTGTGCCAGCACGAGGAGCAACTCCGGAAAAAATACAGCGCACAATTGACGAAGGCGTGTGCCGTCATTTCTGGCTTTCTTGCGACGCAATGCTCAAACATTGGCCCCATGTGGTATTATGTAATAGCTTTGTTCATCTGCTTCTGTAAATGGCCGAAGGTTCAACAGAGTACATACGATACAAAAATCTTGCGGTTCTCTTGTAAACAGCGGTGTGTCTCAAAGCTGAGTTGAAGCGCTTTACTACGGACACGAAAGTCCATGCACAGCGACTTTTCAACGTGAAATGTGCAACGATTATGCAGCAGCTTGTCACGTGCAGTGCAAGAAAGCCCAACAATTACAACGCTAGTTGCCTCGCAGCTCAAGCTACAATGTGCTTTGCAGTTGTTTGACATTAATATGCAACGCCCTAGTCATACTAAAAGCCATAACAGAGTTCCATGTGTTACTTCGTTAGACTGCTCGCAAGAGCATTACTAGATTGGGTGTCATTTCAGCATGGCCAAACATGTTTTGCGGTAATACAGATGATGCTCGATGTCTTACTTTCTGTCATGCGACGTGATGCAAATATTCTCTCGCCAAAAACCAATAACGGTCACGTGTCTTCCAAAACTAATTTTTCGTATCTTTCGGTCGAAGGAGCGTACAACGAAAATTGGTGGGCTCTTCACTGCTCCAAAGCACTGTCTTGAGAATATCTGATCATGAGTATAAGTACGCGTTGTGCTTTACCAACGGGCAAAGCATCCTACAACAATGCTAGCGGGAATTATATTTATGCATGTTACAATGTTCCTCATAAAAAATAAATGCACATTCATCTAGTCAAGCAAAACAGTCGTCGGCGTGGCGTGATTGCGGTGCACCTTCTTGCGAGACTACACACGCTCACGAACGCTAAGTACAGTCGGCAACAGGCGAGAGTGCTCTCGCGGGCACGAACAATCGCTTCACGAACGAGAGAAAAGGGTGTGGCACACCTCGCAGAATGTACAATGGAAACAAACACAAAAGTAGGGCTCGCGTGAAGAGATTGGTGGCAGTTGAACCGAAAACAGAAAGGCCCTTTACAACCATATACTTGTACATACAATTAAACATTTGTGGCAGTCAACGAAGTTGATCCCCTCAACATCTTTGTGTCAGTGAGGTGACCATAGAACAGCCTATTATTTTTTTCCAAGGTCAATCCGAACCTCTCTCTCTCTCTCTCCACATTGGCTCACATGGTTAAGAAGGTAGGCTGGCGGAAAAACAAGCCCCGCTAACCGCTAATTGGGCAGCTCCTGACACAATAGACACTTCCTTTGAAACTAAGCTCTCGAGTGCGGCGACAAACGATGCCTACGCGTGAGCAGCTGCCTCGGGGCACGTATCCTTTGTATTGGCGACAGGTCGTGCCCGTCTGTCAACGACACAAGTTTTAAGTGAATGCTAAAAATAGTAAGAAACTAGCGCGTGGCAGTGTCACATGAATGCAAGTCTACTGGGATTTCAAAATAATTGTCTCGATTGAAGTGGCCGTGCATATCTCGCACATCAATCTGTTCCTTGGCATTTGCCAACTAAGCAAATGCTATGCTGAAAAGAAAAAAGAATTGAATGTCAATCACAGCAACCTGTACTAAAAACTGCGGCTGCTCGGGCTTCTTGAGGGTTAAAAAAAAATGGCTTCGTGCAAGCTGTTTGCCTTCAGCAACGGCAGCTCTGTACATGGAAATTTGGCAAAAGCAGATAGTAGCTCAGATAAGGGCAGCTTAGGGTGCCACTGGCTGTCAGTTGTGTGCTACGACAAAGACGTGCATGAGTGCCCTGCAATGAAGCTACGATGCCCCGTGGCCCAATGCTGTGACCACTTCTGTGTGTGAGAGAGAGAGATTGAGGAAGGCTTCGCAACATAGTAGCAAGGGCTCATGAAAGGCGCAAAACGGAAAAGGCGCCGAGCGAGAGGAAAACACAGGGGGCACCGTGTTCAAGCCTTGAAACTGGTCCCACTGTCCCTTCGCACCGCACAGCACAGCACCATGGTGAATATCAGGCCGAGAATCTGCGGAAGAAACAGGGCAGGGTCAAAGAACGAAAACCGCAGCAATATGCGCACACGCACGACACAAAGTAAAGCTGCTAGCGATAAATTTAGTGTTCTGAAGACATTAGTCTGGACAGACTAATGTCCTTCAATGCGAACAGTCCTTCAATGCGAACAATGTCCTTCATTGCGAACAATGTCCTTCAATGCGAACAATGTCCTTCAATGCGAACAATGAGTAAGCAGGCATATTCACATCTTTTCATCGTTACCGAGATCAAAACTGTGACCTCAAGCTAGGCAGCACACACCAAAGCCAGTGCACTAGCATTGAGAGGGAAGGCCAAGTGCTAAACAATAACACCAATTTTCACATGGCATTTTTAAAAAACACTGAGCAACAGAGAAAATTGCTATGGGTTTAACAGGAGGAGCCGTACATTACCAGACCCTTCATGACAGCTGCAAAGTAGTGCAAGCATTTCATATTATACTGCCAAACCTCCATATATATCCAAGGCGGTAAAACTGGCAATCCACTTTATTATGCCTAAACTTAGATAAATTGAAATTTCATCTCTTATGTGAAGTATAGTCACCAAAAGATTCATTTTCAAACAGAAAGTGCTGCAAGCATGTTTGGAGAATACTGAAGTTTAAAAAAAAAAAGCTAATTTCAATGATGCTCATCAAACCAGTTTTTTTTAATTGAGATCCGACAACCGCAATTCGATGCTGTACCAGTGAAGTGCCCTAACAGTGCCCGTAGGTAACACATAAACCTGAAATAATAGTAACTGCTCAGGCCTTACGCGCCAAGACTGTGACACACACAATACAAACAACCCAAAGTTGTTTGCATTCCAAGTGCCGGCAAACGAACAAAGGAAGAAGAAGAGTCAGCGATCATGAAATATTAAAACACTGGGGAAGCTGAACTGCCAGTACAACCTTCATGGCCAACAAATAAAAGCCTTTCTTAGATACACCAACAAGATTGAGCAATTCTATGGCTGCCCTATATCCCACAAATTTTAGTGCCAATCAAAGTAGGAAAGGGCGAACCGACGGCATGAAGCTGCCCAGATGAAATGGACAAGCTCAAGGCAAAGCAGGCTTCACGATGATGCTTGAACCGTTGCATCACGAACAACGCAAGTGCCCATCTTCGCAACAACCACGCAACACATGAGCCGCTTGACTTTATTGACATGAATTACGAGCTTGACAAGATCGATAGCGAATTAAGAACCTCGTAACAAAGGAGGTCTGAACCTGAGTACGATGCAGTCTTAGAGTGTGAACGCAACGCGATGCGAAGTTTTTCTAAGCAGGTGGAACCGCATTTCAAGCACACAAGCAGACGAGAGGTCGACGTCAGCTACCAATGTGATCACTATACCATCAGACAGGAGGGGAGCAAAGTTACCCAGGTGTACAATCCCTCCCTTCTGTGGACATGTGTATAAATAGATTGAGTTCTGGGAAAAACTTGTCCAGATTGTTCTCAACATTGCCAGCAGTGTTACCACTACGGAGAAATTCCATTACTTGAGACTGTTTCTGAAAGAAGATGCCGCTTCAGCGGTGGTGGGTCCTTCAACAACCATAGAATTGAAAAGTCTGTATACATGCTGCAGAAGTGCTTCGGTGACAAGACATGCCAAGAGAAGCAATAGTTCTGAAGACTATATCGGCTCACTCCGGTTCAGTCATCTCGTGACACAAGAGCCGTTTAACTAATTACTTGTGGCACAATGCTAGAAACATGAAAAGGGATAGAGGAAAAAGACAGAGATCACCTTTGTACTTTTTCATGTTTCTAGCATTGCCTAGAAACATAAAACATGCCAGAAGAAACTTGTTCAGCAAACTTAGGCACCAACTTGTTCAAGAACAAGCTCTTTTAGAGAGCCCTTTAACACCTACCATATTTACTCGATTCTACCGCGCCCTCGATTGTAACGCGCACCCGATTTCCACCGTGAAAAAAAAAAAAAAAAAACGTAAGACATCGATTGCAACGCGCACCCATTTTTCTCGCTGGCCCGCACGATCACACCACTCGAAAAAACGACTCCTTTCGGGAACGTCTTCCATTTAAATATGAGGTACGGGCAGGCAAGGCTTGTGCCCATCTGACGTGTAACAGAGCATTGCCGTCACTGTAGTTTTACCATGGACCGATGTTAGCACACGAACTTGCTTCACCCCCTTCTTCTCGACGGTTGTGGTTCCAGGCATGTCGAAGTAAAGAGGCTTCTGATCGGCATTCCCGATTTGCCCAAGCAGGTAGCTGTTGTTTTGCCGCAAGTTTAGGACGAACCTCTGAAAACTGTGAAGCTTTTCATCGTACTCTTCCGCAAAACTCTTCGCATATGCATGTTCCCCTTCGGAGGGAAAAGCCTTTCCTCTTCATAAAGTTAGTTAGCCAGCACCTGCTCGCTTTAAACTGGCTCCGCATTAGACCTTTTTCTAAGACTAATTGCATAGCCCGCACTTGGAGCAGTTCTGTCGTCACGGGCCGCTGTGCCGCTTGCTGCTCAAGCACATACTCGCCGAGCAGCTCTTTAATTTGCGGAAACCGACCCTGCTGTGGTCCACTGAAGCCTTTGCGTGAAGCTTTGCTGTCGACAATCTTCTGCTTTTGTTTCCGCCGGTCCCGCACGCACGTTTCGGGAACTCCGAACGACCGCGATGCGGCCCGATTTCCGTCCGTTTCTGCACACGCGATGACTTTTCTTTTAAAAGCGGCATCGTGGTGCACTCGAGTTTTCGTAGTCGGCCCTTCCACGCCGTCGATGCTAATGCACTACTAGATGAACTCCTCAGCACACGTACGAAGTGCCGCACATGGGAAGCACATAGGCAGAAATGGCCGACGCGCCATGCCGACGCACATAGGGGGCGGCCATTTTGAATTTGCCGATGGCAATAGATTGACCGTAATTTTTTTGTTCGTACTCGATTCTAACGCGCATGCGATTTATGAACTGGCTTAACCGGAAAAAAGGTGCGCGTTAGATTCGATTAATTACGGTATATGACCATGACATTGTAAACACCGGAGGGCTAGAGTAGTTGCGTGACTATAGTCTGTCGTTTTCATGAATGCTCCGATACATCATGTTTAGGGAATAACCTTACGACGTCACAGCCTACTATCATTGTGCCTGTGCCACAAAAGTAAAACCACGGACATGGCTGCTGTTTTTTCGGTCTTACACGGTCAACTCAAGCCCCTCTCTGTGAAACTGAAGAGTGTAGAAATGAGACACAGCAGAGGTCGGCACGCGGAATCAGTCAGCCCGCAGCCTCAGTTGGGACCAGTCTACGTATCCATTCTCTTGATGAACTCCTCCTGTGATTTCCACTGCTTTGGAGAGATTTGTGTAGTATTCTGCAAATTAAGGCAGCACTCAACAGAACCAGGTAATGAATTCCAGTCTTTGATGGAACGGGGGAAACATTAACTTGAACATATTAGCGCAGTAAAGCCTCAAATTAAGTTGTGATAGCTTCATGTTGTTTACTGTAGGGCAATGTTTATGTATTCCTTGTTATTTTACAGTTTAAGTGACGAAGACAAGATGCTTAGCAAGAATTTTAATTACTCTATTCAGAGATGTGAATGGAGTGGAGTTAATTGCAATGAAGATAGAGTAGAAGAGGGTGAGAAATGACGGCTGTAACTATGACATACATATTAATCTTACCACCTTTTTTTGGTCTGTTTCCAATTCTTGAATCTCGCACTGCTTATAAGAGTTCCGGGCAACAGACGCATAGTGAGGCACAGGATGAATTAACAAATACTGCCGCCCAGATTAATCTCAAATTATCTGTGTGTGTCAGTCTGTGTGTGCATGCATTCTCATTATTAAAGCACCACTGCTTCCAGAGCAGTCAATTGGAGAAGACAAGAGATAAGCGGTGCTTTCAATAATGACACTTGACTAGGCGTCATACATACACAAGACATTCATGTTAGTCGAACATCACGGCTGACATCAATAACAGGTGAATACCTGAGGTAAACTAACACAAGTTACCTTCATTCTAACTCAAATGAGACTATAAATATCATTTCCATATAATGTACATATTTGAAGACCAAATTTTTTGTCGCTATTTTTAAAAATAAAATCAAAACTGAAGACGTAATGCTGCACATCGTATGTTCTACCTCTAGTAAAAGTGCCTGCACACTGGGACAAATGCAGCTGAAGCTGATATAAAACAAGCCTGTCATGTGCGTTCCACAAAGGCTGCATGCCGTAACATCATCAAGAAGAGGAAATTCTCCGCCTTTGTTTTGTCGGGCGTAGAAGCATTAAGGGAGCAGAAGGAGAGGGAGGGGGTGCGTGCTGCATCACTCAAGCAGCAACAGCGAACTCTGATCATAAAGTCATGGTCCCTAGAGCTGATGCGAGCGCCACCTTGGCAGATATCGGCGAACAACCAGCCCGCCTACTTTACATCGAGATGACAGACAGCACGAGAACAGCTTCCCTTACTGCAGTGACCATATTCCCTTACACCAGCGCTTTGTGGAGCTATGCGAAATCCAATCTAAAAGAAAAAGGCTGCTAGCATTGTCTCCTATAACAGAACAACTTCTAGCTATTGAATTCACTGCTTCACCCTTACAGTGAAACTGTTTTCACGCAGTCATCATGCGTTATGGAGAGCGCGTCGGGTGGTGGTGATAATCGGATATCGCAGAGGCACGGCACACTGCGGCCGAGAGCAACCGATGAAGGCACCAAGGACCGCTTGACAGCATTCTCAAAGCAATACTAATGCATTTCGGAGAAAGACGGCACAACGCAAGCAGACTGGTGTAGTGCAGTGCAAATCGCACAGCACTTACAACCCTGCTGGATGTCCCTGCGCTGTTTCAGACGCAGTCTACCCTCTCAGAAGAGAAGGCCCACGTGGACAACAGATTCTATGCTAGCCGCATATCGCACGTCCACCGAGAAGGGAGGCTGCATCATTTCAAGTAACATGGTGCAGGCAGCATGTCTGGAGGCCAAGATAGCCGAGCTGCAATCAACTGCTTCGAAAGGATCCTGAACCGTAACACAGTGACAACGAGACCAAGCTGAGGGGACTTCGAGCCTGCTCCCTGAATGACAACATCATTCGAAAGTTTTGATTGATATGTGGGGTTTAACGTCCCAAAACCACTATATGATCATGAGAGACGCCGTAGTGGAGGGCTCCGGAAGTTTAGACCGCCTGGGGTTTTTTTAATGTGCACCCAAATCTGAGCACACGGGCCTACAACATTTCCGCCTCCATCGGAAATGCAGCCGCCGCAGCCGGGATTCGAACCCGCGCCCTGCGGGTCAGCAGCCGAGTACCTTAGCCACTAGACCACCGCGGCGGGGCATCGTTAGAAAGTAGAACACAAACCTAAGTCGTGAGGGAAGCTGCTCAGGCAGACTTGAAGGACTATGAGTCAAAAGTACGGAAGTTGACTCGGGAGTTCAACGATGAGCGGAAGTGGCTCGTTGCATCAGAAGACAAGCTACAATAGCATACCTACCAAGTTCAAGGAATCCGAGTTCCGAGATATTTACAAAATGGAGGGGGGGAGGATGCAGAATTACCTGCCTCCACCCCTAATTTTTTTATCATAAAAAGCATGCCTGAAACAGCGGGGGGGGGGGGGGGGGGGGGATATTTTATAAACATCGGCCTTGCGGTCTTGCAATGACAAGTGGCCAAACAAACAATGCAACTAGGGTTTCCCAACCAGTAGAATCTCGGTGATATGAATCTTAACAGGAATGAAAAAAGTACAGTAAAACCCCATTAACCCGGATCTCATGGGACTGGCGCTAATTTCCGAGTTAACCAAATTCTGGATCGGCAGAAATTTAATATCAAAAAACGAGGAAATCTGTTTTCAAACCACACAATGTCCGCATAATACATTTATTTTCATGGAAAGAATTCGTGTATGTCTTTCCGGGACACCTGTTAGCAGACCAATAAGAGACGGCAAAGCTAACTGCTGCGAAAATGCGCATGACAGTTAATTATAATTTGTAGTGTTTGACGTTCCAAAACCACCACATGACTATGAAAGATGCTGTAGTGGAGAGCTCCAGAAAATTCGGCCACCTGGGGTTGTTTAACGTGCACCCAAATCTGAGCACACGGGCCTACAGCATTTTCACCTCCATCGAAAATGCAGCCACTGCAGCCAGGGTTCGATCCCACCACCTGTAATTCAGCAGCCGAGTGCCTCAGCCACTAGACCACCACGGCAGGGCGTGTCACAGCTGTGCTTGAGGCCACTAGAAAATTACTAAGTGCTTGAAGTCTGTTCCACCAATATAATAATCAAAGATTGAAAGGAACGCCGAAATGCCTCGTGCCTTTTTTACGTCTTTATTGCCCTTAACTCACTGCTACGTTAGCCACGCACCTTCGGAGCTCATGTGTGCTGGCCCCACATATGCCTTTGAACCTACGCAGTCTTGTTATATATGATCGCATTTGCTTGCATCGGCTGCTATAGTGTTGTCCGCAGCATTTGCAAAAAGCAGCGTCGATTTCTTTGACTGCATGAGCACCAGACGCGCCTACGCTTTTGGGGTTAAGTCAGTTTAGTCGTCACTATACCTGATCTTGTCAAGAGCGAACACGGTTTTGTCCAAATCGGTTGTCGTTTTGTCTAAAGCGGTGCGAGTGCAAGCCGCGCCCGTACTTCTTCAGCTTCCAAAATGTTACTCTCAGCTTGTGCTCAATGGCTTTGGTACCAAATTTTTCATCACCCACTGCAACCCAAAAAAGTCTTTGGAACATCAAAATTTTGGGCCATTGGCCATATGTAGTAGAATTTGCCTGGGAAATTCCACAAATACCATGGTATCAGTCAGTTTTGTCTCGTGGAGACACTGCATGTACACTTACAAAAATCTAGATTATAGTACTGTATATTTAAAAATATCCTGCTGCAGGGCTGCCAATTCGTTTGCTAGGCTTGCAGTTGCAGTCACACAAGTGAAAGGGCAAATGGCAAGCAACTGGATTGAAGCTTTCTGCGCAAAAGATTGGCTTAAATAAACACCAAGTCTTAAATACTCACCTGCAACACTGCAATGCCCAGGCCAATGGCACAAACAAGGACAAGGTTGTTGTACAGGCCGTTCCAAAGAGCTGTTCCACAGCCCTGCATACAGGAAGAAAAATAAAGAGTGGTCGAGATGTTAGAATGAATATGATGACACTCAATGTCTAAAACACTCTTTACAATATTGCTAAATGCAAATGGCAATTAATGCAACTGAAAGTGGGACTGTTGTTCTAAGTCCTTAGGAGTCCAAACAATAGAGTTCAAGTATACCAGAACTGCTAATGAGAGGGGGAGGGGGGCATGTGTCAGAACACATTTTCCTGTGGTGTTGAGGGTGCACAATCAATAAGCTTGGTTGACTATTTATATGAGAGCGATTATGACAATAAAACAGATGCTTTGCTCAAACAGCCTCTCGTCTGTGCGAACTGTCGCAGTCAGTGACACCACAATGATATTGGCCTCCAGAGATTGTTCCTCTGCAGTGCACAGAGACAATTCCTGCATTTGAATGATACTTACGAATGGCTATAACGGTTGATAAATATTCAGGGGTAAACACAGTTACATTTGAATTTTACTAGGCATATTTACTTCCATTACATCGACCTTTAAAGGACCTACCAAACCGGTCTATTTTTTGGGTGGGCAGAATTGAGCGAAATGCAGAAAGAAAAAAAAAACACTACCGACTCCTTTGGCAGAGCCTTCCCTTCAAGTGCAACAAACTGGCAAACTGAACATGCACAAACATTTTATAGGTTCATAGTAGCAAATAATGTGAAAATGACATTGAAGAGCCTCATTAGAACAGAAGCAGGGAGTACTTGAGAGATTTTAGCAACGAGAAATAGCATGTCTCCAATTCTGACACGAAGAAAACCATGAAGCCAGCAATCTCCACCATTATAAGATGCAAATTTATTCACTTAACATCTAGTGTCATCACACCATGCTCAGGCTTGCCATTGGTGGCTACTTTTCGCCAAATTGGCGAATTTGAGAGGCCCATGGTGACCGAAATTCATGAATGGTGACATGGCAAATTTTTGGTGACTTTAGGCTTAGGTCTCGACTGAGTTATGCATTCTATACTTGGTGTCTTCAAAACTAATGGGTGACAAGATTTTTTCTATTTCTGTAATTTTAGGCTAACAATAGGAGGTGCACTTTACGTGCAATTCAGTACGTCTGTCCTGTTTCTCGTGTCTATCTCGTCGATTCACCAAGATCCTGGAGGCACCTGGCACATTGGTGTATCCGCCAGCAACCTCCCAGAAAAATTTAGGTCAGTGGGCTTCTTCGCGCGCCACAAGGTGGTGGTGTGCACCGTTACTTAAGTGTTTTGGGAGCTTTAATCTGCTGCTATGTCTCGCTTCTAAAATGCCTAGGTGACGGTTAGGCTGCGTGTTCCTACCAAAGCTCTAACTGTCCTGAATAGCTTGTCGACTTCTTCACTGCTGTAGTACCCCCTAATTTGGTGTGTAGGGTTTAAATTTGTTATTAACATACATTGCGGGCCGGCCAAGAAGTCGGCTTCTTTGGGCAGCCTTCCAAAACTGCACTGAGGCGAATGTGCAGCGTAAGCACGATCACACAGAAAACGTGGCGCGGGCACTGTGGCGGTTACCCAGTACTTTTGAAATTATTTCCGTTGTTTTGTAATTAAGTTGTTCGATGACCAAACACATGATTCCACTGCAATGAAACACATTCAAATTTGCAGGAAGGCTACGCACACCATCCTTCTCTTGTTGTAGCGACTGCTTTGTTTTGTGTTCGCTTTAACTGAAACCATCACAAACTTTTGTGATGCGAAGCTAGCATTCAGGGATGCTGTTGGTGCCTGCGTGCCCTTTCTCAGCGCTCTCATGGCGAAGCGGGTGATGCGACTTCAACCCCACTAAGCCCTGCCATGATGAAGCAGGTGATGTGACTGGCATTGAAAAATGTAAATATAATTTAGGGGTTATGTTATAGATATTGCTACACTTTACAGGTCTATGCATAATGAGCAATTTTTGGCAAAACTTGAAGAAAAAATGGCGACTTTTGACCTTTCCCTCGTCGTTTGGCGAATTTCACTCGAAATTCAGTGGCAACCCTGCATACGCTACGAAGTACAAGATCGGTTGTCCTCCACATTGTTAATAGGATGCTTATTGTCCTGCAACTTGTGAGAACAGGTAGACAAAAGTTGATGCAGTGAGACCACAAATTATATATTTGGTCTAAAGCCACACAGTCAAAGCGAAGAAGAACAGGCGCAACCATCTCGTGTTTCGTGCATCGACGTCATCGTCTCCAGGTCAGTTTTTCCCGATTGGCACTAGTGCGCCGCATGTTTATTGACCGACTCCTCAACCGCTGCAACAAGGATGGCGTACTAACTACTTTCCTATAGTCCCCCTCAAGCTGCATCTCGTTCTTCGTAACGACAACATGCGATAAAATTCGATGCCACTGACTGCACAAGCAAAATAATTTGCCTACGTGTACACTCGTAACTCTGTCATGCCTTGTCTGTCTTTACACCTGGCAAAAATGAGAATAAAGTGCACGACTCACCTGTGTGTGCAGGCCGTGCAGCAGAGAGCCCCCTCCACCAAACTGGCGGTTGATGTCACAGGTGGTCGAATCCTCCTCGACGCAGCACGAACGCGGCACCTGGTATGCGCCCAGGGCCCGGATGCCGGCCTCAACGGAAGCTGCCAGGCCACCCTGTTCTGATGCCTTCTGGTTGATGCGGGCCTGAGCCCAGTCTTGGGGGCCCTCCACCCCGCAGCAGCGCAGCTGCAGGGAAGAGTCAGTCGAGCAGAGCACAGTCAGAGGGGTAATGATGAAGCCATCTAACCATGCTAAGTTTATCTGTAACTGATGATAGCATGCTCAATATTGCTATGTGTGCACACACACACGTGCACACACAGAAAGAACTGGGTTGTAAGCGTACATTTGAACTAAAACTTCAATTAATTAATCTCCTCCCACCACTAGCCACCAACATTTTTGCCATGAGCTACACAACATCAGGAAATGAGGGGCCATTGAAATGACCTCCGCTTAGACGATTGCTATAGGACGAGATCAGAATGACTGCAAAGGTCATTCTGATCTTGCTCTATAACAATCGTCATGTCATACCAACTAGCCCAAACTGCTACGCTTCTGCTCAGAAGTGAGAGATCGTAATGGCTATGTGTTGCTCCGTGTAATAAGGTACTAATGACTGTACTGCTGTTGCAATGTGACGGTGATCACAACAATAGCACTATAAAAAGGAGCAGCAAACCACTATTAACATACATCTCTTAGATTATTTGCTGTATATACCGCTGGGTGAGGCACCTGCATGCAGCGCGTTCAGTGTCTCTCGTCATGTTTGCATCTTTCGTGTAAAGTGGGACCCCAATTATACGGCTTTAAGAGGACTATACAAAATCGTCGTATGACTCGGGTTTCCTATAATCGATAACTAAGAACATAGGCAGTGATGCTGAGCCTTGTAACCAAGAAAACTGGTATAGACCATCTAAATAAGGCCGCAGGAGAACCCTGCAATATAAGAAAGGTACACAATATTATTTTTTGGAATGATAACTTATATTGAAGAAGGAGTGAAAGAATCTAATTTCAACTTTAGAAAAAATCTTAAACAACCTGCATCTTCGTTCTGATATATCGAGTCCGAAAATTGCCCCTACATAACAGCAAAATCGAAACAGCATTGGCAACTGCCTCTTGTCATAGAGCCAGCTACAGCGTCATCACCATCACGTAATGGGGATAGAGCAGGTTTTGTTGCTTGTTTGCTAGGATGCTCCCATGCCCAACTTAGCTGTGCAGTTGATTATTTGTAGCTCTGTGAAGTGCAATGATGACTAGCACTGTTATCACAAGCGCTCAGGACAATGGAAAGTTATTTTACACAGTGAACCTTTCTGCTTCACGTCCTTTCATGCACTTGAGGCCTGTGATTAAGAATGGTGACCTGGAAATGTTTCCACAAGCCAAAAACATGAAATTATCCAGATCTTAAAGATTAACTTGCTGACCAGCTGAAGCTACTTTGTGTAGATAGAGGTTCTCTACCTAAGGACCCTGGATATGCACGCGATCAAGCTGTAGATTCAAGGGATCTTAAAGCTAGCCAATCTGGATCACAGACAACCGAACTCCCAGGTGAATACATTTTCTCATGTAAGGAGGCATACGGCACTTAGTCTTACCATTTTTTTTTCTTATTATTGTCAACTCACAGTCACACAAATTTAATTTTGCACCCACCAATAATTGGTGCACATAAGATTCGAGCACAAGAAGGTAACTTTATTTTTACAGTATTAGAGAGTCATCATATGATGCATGGTCGGCATAAAATTGCATCGTATAATCGAGGTACATTATTGTTACAAGGGTTTCAAGAATCATACAGATTTTGTCACAAAATACGGTTCAATGCAAAAGTGGGCAATGTATAATCGAGGTTGTACTGTATTTGTTGGTTTAGTCCTCCACATCTACACAAGAATGCCCGTAAGAACACCGAGGTATCTGTATAGATGAATAAAAATAAAGAAAAAATGCAATCATGCTTTCACACTAGCTTATGAAGATTGTGCTGCATCTTCTCACATACGTATGATGCATTAAAAGAACAACTACTATAGATCACATCTGCAGTACTTTTGTACACGTGGTTTCTCGTAAAAATTGACAAGGGACCCTCGAACACCATCCATCGCTGCGTGTCCTCCACAGCAGAAGTGACCTGCAGTAGGCCACTTCAATTATTGGCACATATTGGAGTGTTACAGTTTCAGAAGCCGGCCGTAGCCTGCCTGTGGCCTTACCAAAAGCTTCACACCGTTTCTAAGGCCACTATTTTTTAAAAATTGCAGAAATCGAATACATTTCAAAGATGCGATCAACCCTGCGACTTTCGAAACAGCAGCCCAGAGCAGTAACTACTGCACTAAAGAGGAAGACCGTTCCGTCTGGCCGAAAATGCACCCCCCCCCCCAATAAATCCCCACTTCATTCGTTTCAAGGGGAAAGCCAGTACATGCTTACATATGTAAACAGTACAAATTTCAGATGCTTGTGATGTGCCTTTCTCTCAAACTTTGTTGATCAGAGCAATAAAAAAACTATCTAAACGAACACAAACAAAACCTGATATTGTTACAATGATGATTGGCTCAGAACACATCAAAAATGAACAAGGTGCTCAACCGGCTCATCAATAAGGACTACAAGCTTCGTAGTAGTTACTACTGTGCAGAGACAGACTTATCACACACTCACGTCGTGTTGCATGGTATCGATGGTCTTGGTGATCACGTCAGACACCGAGTAGTCCTTGTGCATCATGTGCTGCACCTGGCCTTTGACGGCTTTCTCAAACTGCAAGACAAGAGGGAGACCAACAATCAAACTTGCCCATGGGCAAAGCACAGCCACAGCTTGTAACGGTAAACGAGACCATTTTCATGAAAACTGTGGTAAAAACAGTACAGTGCATGTCATTAAAATAACACTTCTTCAAGAAATTTTCCATTCCAGTGGTGTGGCTGACCAATGCAACTTTAGCGCAGCTTCTCTGGCCACTAAAGTACCACTTCGGTGCACTTACCAGTTACATTTTAAATGCAATTACTATATAAAGATACACTAAATGCAAAAAAACATTATGTCAGAGCGAAAGTTTTAGAAACTAAAATGTCAATATTGTAGGACACGATTTGTGCCAACAGTAGAACATCCTGGAACAAGAGCCCAATGACTTAACATCTTCAGCTCAATTGCTAGCAGTCAATCTACTCGTGATTAGAATGAACATTGCAGTGCATTACAAGATGGAATAAAATTCAACTCGTGAGTTTGGTTCATGGAAACAAGAACCTCTAGTAGTTACCCCCAAGAAAGACAGGTGGCCTCGTTTCGTTGGGCTCTGCTCTGCAGCAACAACTTCCAGGCAGCAAAGCGCGGGCATCGTCATATAATTTCCTACAGATACACTAGAGGGGACTCTGGCACTAGTGTCTATGAGAGCGGCAGCGCATGGCACTTCAGCAAACAAGGGAATTATGGGTAGTATACACGGATTTGCCTAGTCTCTGTACTTTCTGTTCCTTTTGGCTTTGCGTTGCCTGCAGCTGTTTTGCCAAAGGACAAAGTTCAGCAAACGTTCAGCAGTTGCACTTGAACGCCTTAACCATTTAGGCTCACCAATTGAAATCGGTTTGCGAAGTTCACAATGATATATTATTTTATCCGAAACAAAACCCCAAAAACAACAATAAACAAAGCCACAAGTACGTTCGAAGCCCGCAGGCGTGAAGACTAGGCAAATTTACGCGCCAACCATCATTTCCACGGTGGCTGAATGATCAAAGTACCAGAGTACCCTTTAGTTAATTGTAGGAAACTATGGGCATTGCAAATGCAATGTCACAAGGCTGTTCTCAAAGGCGGGCTGATGAAACTGCGCCAACAGCATGTGGACCACTAAAACGCAATTTCATTTTCAACTGTGCATTTCCTTGGCACGAAAGAAGCACCAAGAGCTTTCCGGAATGCTATGTCAGCAATTTGCACCAACACTAAAGTGAGAAATTAAATTAGTTTTGAAATATAATTCATTCTATCAGAACAATATTGTCATTCATTCCATCACTGTAGGTTAATTAGAAGAGCAGAAGTTTAAGTAAGAAATTTCTCATTTGAATTTTTGTCGAAACTCAGCATGTAAACATCAATATGAACTTACGAAGTTAGATTTTTTACACACATTTTGGTTTGTGAGCAGTTAATAATACACAGGTTCTATAATTAATGGTACTTTTGTGCCCCAACCTGGAGCGTGCTGCACGAATTCTGTGGTAATGGAAGGCTTTATGAATCATTTCGGCACATTCTTCAACATAAACTTTCACCACAGTCGAGAAGCAGCGCCAAGACACTACACCTCTTCAGCGAAATTTCCACAGGCCACTACAGTGGGCGGAATCACTGCAACATTGCGACTGCATTCGGCAGAGTATTCAAAAACTTATGTGCCTAGCATAAACTCTTCTGGAATTGAATAAGAACAAATTATACTACAATTCTTTTGAGAAACAAGCAGGCTAATAAAAAAAAAACAGCAGTATTTTGATGTATAAATATGCATACTGCTCACTGTAAATAATGCAATCAATGTTCAAGTAAAAGACAGCAGTCTTAGAAAGGCCTGTCATTCCACCAAATATGAGCATCCTGTAACTCTGCAACAGTAAGAAGGTATTTTTACTCAACTTGATTATGTAATCTCACAGAATGAGCGAGTGAAAGAAAGGAGCGTGCACTTAGGGGCTCGTTTTTTTCGTTAGACACGATATTAATGGGAACTAACACACAAACATGCCAAGGAATGCACTGAGGATGTTATTAGAAGTAATCAATGTATAATGAGGCGTTTTAGAGTGGCACTCTTTTATAAAACAGGAGAGCGGTCACGACACGTCGAACTAGCCTGAGTACCCAGCCAACCAAACGTCGTCTTCTTCACCGACCGAGTCATACCCCCTGCCTTTATAAGTAGCACTCGTCTTCTTCACTACAATGTCAACAAAAATAGTGGACAAAACGATAACTTGGCGTGGGCAGAAGCCGAACCTGCGACCTTCGAATAACGTGGCCGATGCTCTACCAATCGGGCTACTACGGAGGCTATCATCCGACCACTTTATGGGGTATATACGACAGGTTCGGTCCCTGCATACAACAAGTTATCTTTTTGCCCACTTTTCTTTCTTCACATTTACATTACATTACATTTACATCTAATAACATCTCCTATACTTTCCACGACATGATCGTCTGTTAGATCCCATTAATAATGGGTGAGTGGGCACAACAATTCTACCAGCATTAATTGAGTCGCAAGCTCTGCTTTTTGCAAGACTTACGCTTTCCAGGTTTGACCAAGCCCAGATGCCACCGGTCACTTCAGCAGCAATGATGACCACCAGGAATATGAAGAACTGCGCACAAAGAGAAGAGAGAAAGAATGTGAGAAACTGGGCAGCAGAACAACGCGCAAGGATGAAACTGCTAAACTGTGCCCAGACACGCTCGCTGGGAGAACTGCTGAAAAGTGTGAGCAGGCAAGCCATATGTGTCTTTGTTCTTTGGCCACAACTGTCGTGGTACAACAAACTTTCTCCAATTCGTCTTCGGTTATAGTATTGACTTTTCCGTCAGCTTGGTCTCCGCCAAAGGTTCCAATTTACAAGGAAGAACGCTTTTACCATTTTGATCCCGAAATCAGGCAAGGCTATATTATTCGAGATAGGCAGGTAATTGTATGAGAGGACAGCATGCTACCCCGATTGGTGACCTAGAGTCATGGTTTGAATAGCAGCCGCATATCTGACCTCACAGCGCTCAGGGTACTGTTGAATGTGCCCAGTACACACAATGTATCATTTAAATTGGCAGATATTATATTGCTCCACAAAAAGCTTAGTGCAAAAGCTGCCAATTATACCAGCACTCATCCTATTATTTATGTGTGGCTTTTGTTTCCTTCTTTGCGGGAATATATCTGAAAATTCATGATGCTGTATGCTTAGCCCAACATAAAAGCAAAACTGTGTTGTCCTCTGTTGAGCAAGGCAATCTAGTGTTTTGCCATGTGCGATTTTTGACACTTTGTGAATATGGGCTGCTTTGACAATGTCCCATTGCACCTGTCGCCTGTGATTGTACCGAATGGAAGAGCTATCAAACTGGACCATACACTCCCGATCACAAATAACAGGGACGTGGCAAGTATGAACTAGTCTGCCTGCCAGGGAAAGTACACACTCAAACCTCGATATAACGAATCTGGATATAACAAAATATAGGTCATAATGAAGTTAATGAAGAACAGTATTGCAATACATACTGTGTTAATAGTATACCTTTATAATGAATTTTCAGGCATGAACTTATCTTCGTGTAAGATGCAACTTTGTTAGAATGAGGTTTGAGTGTCACTCAAAATGATGCAACAGGCTCTAGAGGTCAGCCCAAGGCATAGGCTTGCACAGGGCTCTCCAATTGGGACCGTGGAGAGGCAAGTTTTGCTGCAAGGCTTTTGCACACATGCGTATGGGCTGAAGAAAGCCCTCGGGACTAGTGGCGGCAAAGTACTCACGGTGCAGAGCATGCAGGGGCTCTCCCGCAGGGCTCCACAGCATCCAAAGAAGCCGACAATGGCCATGAAACACCCTGCGCCGAGCAGGATGTAGATGATGGAGAAGTACAGCTGGCTGTCCTGGCTGTTGCCCCCTTCAGTGGCCAGGTACTTGCTGCTGTCCAGCAGCAGCATCACCGACACCACTACCACCGCAATGCCCGCAAGCTGTAACATAACAAGAAGGCATCATGAACATCTTGAAAAACACCATCAGAGTTTGGCATGCCTCAAAAACCATTGAAGACAACTCATAGGCTGTCCCCACGACGGCGCAATGTCCCAGCAGCGCACATAATCATGGTGCAACTTATAGGAATGACCACAGTAGAGCTTGTGAAAATGCTGCCAAGTTCTACCGACATGCATTTTCTCAATACATATTTAATTTGTAAGCATTAAAAGCCTCATTCTGAACAAAAAGCATAACCACGATATGCATGAGTTTCCCACGCACACAATAAGGGGCCCTATAACAAACAGAGAAAATAACTGTAAAGTAAAAATAACACAAATTGTGCTTTTAATTAAACAAAATATAAATTAGAATATGAATGGTTTTAAGGATGATTTATAACACAAAAGGCCAATACTACAATCAGTAAGCCACCGACACATGAATTGACAGAGTGCACCAGAACACCTTTTTAAAAGTTTTTGTCAGCAAGCTAGTGCATTGGGGCACCTTATGCATATTTCATTCCACCCTGGCAGACGTACTGCATGGGCTGCACAAATGTGTCTGCAGCCCATGCTGCAACAATTCGTGATATGTTTCAAAGCAGCCAAAAGGTGGCACACTCTCAGACTTGGAAATTATGCTGATAAATATATGCCAATTATGAGGATCTCTTTTTCTCAAGCCCATGGCCTTCGGTGCACTACACACATTAAGACATATACCTGCGCACACATGTAGACATATACCTGCACATATATCTGGCTCGCTGGCTCCCGTTTACTTTCTAAACATCTCCATCATAACACCAATTGCAAGAGTTGCAACGAAAATCCTGTACACTAAAAGCAGGCCTGTGTAAACACATTAAAATAAACAATCACTATGGCATAGTTTAACCTTTCTATCGATTCACAGTCATCGAAAGTGCATGGTAATATATGCCCACTATGTTAGGTGACATGTAGACAGTTACATGTTTAAACTGAACAGTTTCTGAACTGTTTCAGCGTGCAAGACAGATGACTGCAGAAATTATCATTGGTACATTTTGGTATCTCGTTATGTCTTATCTTGTGAAGGTCACATGTCTGATCAGTGTGGTAACACAGAGCAGCAGACTGCAACCAAGGGCTTGACATGTCTCGGCACAAGACGATAAACATCGCACTTAAACTTCTCTACCATGCTCCCATGGCTTTCTGTTAATGACTTTCGAAGCACTATAGAGGTTGCTATAGTCACGGAATAAAGGTAGCAGGTGGTGCCCTCCCCATTTGATGTGCGCATAGTATATATAAATTTGTTAAAGTCGCGGAAATGTCACCTGAATCGTGCCAGTATACGTACCTGAAACGGTGCAAAACCACCTAATTGCGTATAGGTTCAGTGAACAGCATGAAAATTATACCAAACCTTGACATAACTAATGAAGCCTATAAGAAATTATCAGGTATAATGAAGCAATGCATTTCAACCCTTTGTCACTAATATCCCTGTGCAACAAATAATGATTGTTAAGTAGATATTACTGCACCTGATTTCACTTATTTATAACAAGGCGTTTCACTGCATAGGAGGAAAATATACACATAAATAATGTGGAGTGTCAGGATACAATATAGCCCTATCTTTGAAGAAACGCTACTGTAGTATCAAAAGCAACAGAGCTTGAGCATATTATCGACTTATGGAAAAGGTGATTGAGAATGTGCAATATATAAAGCAAAACCTAGTTGACAAGCTTGCTTGTCCTACTGAGCTGTAGCAAGTATCGAAATACTTAATCGGAACTTCCTTTACTTGCGAACTACACTGTACAAAACCACGTCGCTGTGCATGACGACTGACGGCATGCTGTGGAACATGGGCTCATTCGTTGCTGTTTTACGACAAGCTGCACGCTCTATTTCCATGGCGACAAAAGTCTCTTCCACTAACCATCAGCCAGCAACATCATAGCTTCGAAAGTAACCCAGAGAAAACAATCTATTAGGTTGGCTTTCAAATCAATGATCCCTAGGCTCACTGGTCGTATGGCCAGTGTAACATATACTACATAGCCAGTGTAACATATACTACACCGGTGCCTGCAAATTGATGGTCGAACAGTTCTGCAGTTCAACTTAACAAAATAAGACTGCACATTCTTTGCTTCGGGCTGTCCTGATCTTATCTGCCAAACAGGCAAGCCCAGAAAGGTCACTGATGATAAACTAGCTTGCAATCTTTTCCTTTTGTCAGGAAAATGCAAACAGGGCAGTTACACACACATTGATAAAACAAAGAGATACCGCAGACACAGAAATAGGTGCATGTAGCTCATCTCGGATACGCGTGACCTAGCTTCATCAGAACAAATGACAATGTTTTGTAAAAACGGCAAGCACCCTGACGGCTGCGAGTGATGGCCAAGCAATTGAGGTCTCTTCGTGTGCACACTATTTCGGTTAATACAAAAACTGCATCACGAAATAAATTTCAGTTCTGAGCACTCTTCGTATTTCCCTTCATGGCCACTGCTTCATTTTATGTTTGCCATGACTAATATTGTCCACGTGAAGCATAAATGCACTGGCTTACAATAGGTCGAGAATTATGCAAAATAAGCGTGTCAAACGATGTATGAAACTGCGCTGATAAAAGCTGATATTAATATTATTATGTAATGTCAATTACGTTAGTGTTTTCACAGCTGCGTCTCTACTTACACATGCATATATGCAAACTAGTATCTACATTATTGGTTGAAGCTCTTTGTACACCTTACTTTAAATATTTCTTTCCAATGTGCCTCATATTATAAAACACACACAAAAAAAGCTTAATCCCAGACAAGTGACAATTGTGGGCGTTGGCAGGGGGGTGCAAAAGCAGCACTTGCCTTCCTCACAGCCCCACTAACTCGGCGAATAAGGGGGGGGGGGGGGCGATATACTCGTATCTTCCGAAATTTCGCGTCATCAAAACAACCAGTAAAATCTACTCCTGTCAAAAGAACTCGCGTATGTCTTTCTGGGACACACGTCAACAGACGGGACGGCGCAGCCGGGAAAGCGCGCGTCGAAGTTTCGCTTGAGGTCCGCAGATCGCAAGGACAACGTTACGATATTTTATAGATTCTTTGGAGACAAACTCCAAACCGCTTCCAGCACTTTTTTACGTCTTCATTGCCTTTAATATACCACTCCATTAGCCGTGTGCCACCCCGTCGCGGTGGTCTAATGGCTAAGGTACTCGGCTGCTGACCCGCAGGTTCGAATCCCGGCTGCATTTGCGATGGAGGCGAAAATGCTGTAGGCCAGTGTGCTCAGATTTGCATGCACGTTAAAGAACCCCAGGTGGTCGAAATTTCCGGATCCCTCCAATATGGCGTCTCTCATATATGGTGGTTTTGGGACGTTAAACCCCACATATCAATCAATTAGCCGCGTGCCTTCGGCTAGCAGCCGCCGTTGATGATCGCGTCGGCAGTTGCGAAAACAACAGTTCCGTTTTCAACGCGTGCGCGCTGGCTGCGCACGTGCCGTCAAAACCGAATCGTTTTCTGCTGTCAATGATCGCATCTGCCGCGCTTTTTGTCCGCAGCGTTTGCAGAAAGCAACGTCACTTTGACTGGTAGAGCATTGGACGCCCCTGCGCCGCTAGTCTCGGTAAATTGCGTGGTCGCCATATATGATCCGTGTCAAGAGCGACCCGCGGTGTCGGTACTTTCATACGACCCACCACGACGTGGAAAAGTATTCGCGACATCCGAATTTTTGGCTCGATGGATTTTGTGTGAGAAATTTCACGAATTCAAATCTGCCAGATTCGCATCATCGGGATTCTATACTGCACGTTTAGATAAACGCCTCCTGAGATTCGTTTGCAATAAAATGCGAGTCATTTGGTTCGCAAAACGCCTGAACCGGATCAACAGGGCAGCTGCATTTTTTTGCGGCCACATCAAGCACGCAAATTTCTATCTCCGGGAGATTTTCTTGACAACCGTACACAAACGTAAGAAATGGTCGAAATCAGCGAGTCTTTCTGATAATTCGGGAGACTTCGCGGCAGGTATATTTAGAAACGCAGCCGAGGTATGAGCACTGCGCGGTGAACATGCGCAGTGCTTTCATGCACGTACCCTTCCCTCCCATATGCGCAATGCCTTCTATTGCTAATCGAACCGAGAAAATGTAAAACCGTGGAAATGGAATAACATGTTTAAAGAGAGATCATATAGCAGGGTTGAGCAGGAATGTTAGGAAAGAACAACTGTCGAATGACATCAAGATGAACCAGAAGTTTAGTAGCGCCAGCTCGGCGGCAAAAATTTTTGTATCGATACACCAAAATGAGATGGCAGGATTACACGCGGAACTCAAATTAATGATAAAGATGATGAGCCGTACTGCGCAGATGCATCTAGCTTGAAATTCAGTGCTGGTTGAGTTATGGAGCGCATCATTATGTATAAATACACAAACATGTGAAATAGTTGAAGTAAATCACTCTGGTTGAAGTAACCAGCATTTTTCTGCACATTGAAACGGCAAATTGATAAGCTGCAGATACTCAATGACTGGCAGCGTTTCGTGAAGTAACCATTCATAAAAAAAATTCGGTGCTCGTGCACGTTACCTGAACACACGCAATTATTTTACGAGCAGTGGTTATAGATATATTTTCAAACACTAACGGTAAAGCCACGCGAGATCTTAGCTATTTCGCACAGTGTGTCATTTCACTCGTGTTTCTTTTTTTCTGTGCCATGTTTCTTAGCATTGTTTTTAAATTGAACACTAAGAGCCAGCTATAGCCGAGGCTTCCGTTTCAGTTCACCTGAAATGTGTGCGTAGATATGACGAAATGTATGGATGTATATATAGTAAGCAAACATAATAGAATAGGCGTTTTTTCCATTTTATAGACACACATCTAAAGTTGCACCATTGATGAACATTCTAATAAAGTGTGCGCAAGGCACTGAAAGTACCGGAGCTTTCATCGATGCGAATGCAGCGCGCCTGCACGAACCGTAAAATATGCATTAGTGTAACATGGGGGCAAATCGCGAACGTCTGCGAATTCAAATTCTGGCCTCTTTGCTCAAGAAGCGAGACGGGCCCACATCGGCGGAGGCGCAGATAGGAGTCGTCTGTTGGCAGCAATCTACGTCTGGCTTACAGGCGCCATGAAATATATGTTTATGGTGCCTCCAAAACGACTCGGCTATAGAGATAGGCGCGACTCTCGCAAGAAGTGCGAGTTGTCTGGTTTTTACAGCGGCACTGGCCAAACAAACTTTTACACCAACTGCCATGAAAGCACTACACGAAGCAGCTCATTTGCGTCCAGACCGAAAGCTTGCATACGACTATATCGATGTTCATATCGCAACAACCAGAAAAAAATTGATCGGGTTTAGAGCATTCGTTCTACACGCTTATAAAATTAACAAGTGACCGGCGTAAAAAGGAACGTGATATGCTGATTTCTGAGGTGAAATGTTACGGCTCGTAATAGGCGACGGAAACAGGCGCGCTACTGTTGCGAAGTAATCACGTAGGGCGTGTTGTTTCGAAAACAGCCCTTTAAAGGAGGAGCGCGAATCGCAGATAATTACGATAAGACCCGCTATTTTTAAGCCCGTCGTAGTTTTGCTCGCAACTCGCTAAGCAGCCGGCCGACGGCGCTAGGAGTTTTCACACAGATTTACAAAAGCACCGATAGAATCAAGGAAAACATGTACACGCTTCCATCGCTGGTGCGCCCGGGAAAATGCGCCCCGCCAATTGTGAGTCATGCAGGCGCTCTTTCGCCGAGGAAAAACTCGCGACAATGGCCACTACCAAACGCAACAGGAGGGGGGGAATGGCGTCCGAGGAAAAAACGGGTTAGCCCAGCTGCCGCCAGCGCGCACGCACAATTTCCATGCGGCGGTTGCGCAAATAACCGACTTACTATGAATGCCGTCGTGAAGAATATGCAGTGCGCCAGAGTGCCGCTCAGGACCAGCCGTTTCCACCTGGCCCTGGCGGCGTCGACGAGACGAAAACCCATGGCTCAGACTTGACTCTCGGGCATCGGAGCGACGCGAGACTAGAAGTCGTGCACACACGAAACGCACCGCACGCACACACACCCCTCTCTCGCGGTGGCGCGCGCGCGTCCCCAGACAGACGGTTATTTCGGTGCTCGTGCTCCCGCACTGAGATGGATAGCGTTGCTAGAAGCGTCAATCGATGTCAGAGTAAGCACCCAGGCAGACCAACTCGCTCGCACGAAGATAACATCGAGGAAAGTCCCGCTAATTTCACTACGCACGAGGGGCAAGGATTAACGGCGGCCCGTCGGCGCATCCCCAACTCCGGCACCATTGACCATCTGCGCGCTTGCTATGGCAACCGTCACGTGACCCCCCGCCGAGAGCCAGAACCAGTGGCGCCATCTGTCGTCTAAGAAGAGCACCGGCGGCGGCGGTGACGCTCTTGTCCCCATCATTTGACGAGACGTTCAGCTGCATCATTTAATCTAAAGCGTTGAACACTGTTGAATCCCAGTATCGCGACTATTTGCGCGAAGTTCCGCTTTCGTGAACGAGTTCCACGGAGTGACTCAGACGGGCAAAAAAACAACAGAACAATAACCAGTCGGCAAACTAGGTGCTACCGGTTGCTGCCCGAGAAAGTGGTCGGGCGACCAGACCAGCCTTGCGCCGCCCGCTGAAAGATAGATGGACAGAATCGGTGCGCGGGCGGAAAGAGGGTCTAACCCGCTTCGCCGAAGAGCAATTACCCCGTCATTATGGACCGGCGCTAATGCAACCCGGTCAACGTTCATCTCTCGGTCATTGCGCGAACTGTGCTTGGGCGATCTTCTGCCGTGATAACGCTTCTGCGTTCACGACTTCGCCCCCCTTTCGCGCGGTTGTTGCTTTTGGGCTGCAATGGGCTGACGATAAAGACGAGCTGAAAAGCCGGGCCGCATCTCTCGTTGGACAAGCCAAGCGTTGTTGTTAGCGATCAACCTGGCCGAATAATTACGGCTATTATATCGCAGCGTCGAGGAAGGAAGCAACCAGCGCTCTGATCGAACGTACTGTGCTTGACCTGACCTCTTATTCCCCACCCTCACGAGCACATACTGTTACCGTAACTAAAAAAAAAGCTTTAAAAAATTAATGAGATAGAGAGAAAAAAAATAGAGGCAGGTTCCAAAGCACGTGACGTACATATGCGACAATATATAGTGACAGATCACGGTCGTTCGATCATAACAGCTCACTTATGCTGTCAAAAGTCAATTTTGACACTGACAGCGATTAAGAATGCAGTAAAAAAAAGAAAAAGAGCCTGCCATCTTAGTCATTGGTCAAAAAGACGAGCCGAAGTTTCAAAATACTTTAGATGCACACGACACGGATGTCGTGGATATATCAACAATTAAAAAAAAAGTCCACGTGTTATCGGCAAAGCAAATATGCATAAAAAATTAAAAAAATAAGGGGCTCAACAATTATTTACATAAAAAAGGCCTTATATGATTGCTTCATAGACTCTACTAGAAAATATAACAGTAAGATTACACTCCTGAATTCTTCGCAGGGTTCGGCGCAACCTCCTGTTCAAAATTTACTTTATTTTCCTGAAACGCAGTAGTTCGAGCAAGCGATATTAACCGTCACTCGCGATTTCGACGGGCAGTTCTGATCAAAAGCCGAGTGAACGTAGAACGAAACACTAAAACAGACTGTGGCCTTGATTTCGTCCAAATTAAAACGCAGTACGGCGAAACACTTGTGCCATTTCCGCTAGAACGGCGCGGCAAGCTGTCTTCTCGGCATGACTCTGAAGCGTTGCACAAAGCCTGAGCCGACTTTTGCAGGCACACCGTCGAGGCTGTTTGATGGGCACTTGTCGGCGCTGTCGAAGCTTCACGTCTCGGCCGGGTGGGCCGAACTGAGCGCTGAATCCTAATATTATCTGGGGTCCCAAAACCAACATATTGTCACGACGTCAAAACAGAGGTCTTGCCGCAGAAACTGAGACACCAGAAGCAGGTAGGTTCTTTTAATATAACGCGCAAGAGAGTTCTTTTTCATCCTTTTCATTGTACTTCATGGCACATGCACAACTGTCGTTGTCTTTCTTTTTGACAAGCACGTGACAATATGATTATGAGAGACGCCGTAGTGAAGGGCTCCGGAAATTTCGCCCACCTGGGGTTCGTTAACGTGCACACAAATCTGAGCACACGGGCATACAGCATTTCGGCCTCCATCGGAAATGCAGCCGGGATTCCATCCCACAACCTGCGGGTCAGCAGCCGAGTACCTTAGCCACTAGACCACCGTGGCGGGTTGAGCACTGAAGTATATAAACCACGTCCGCACGCAAAAACAAACTGTTGTCATCAAAATTGCTCCAGTCATTGAAGTGAAGGCATATGCACCGGCCAAACGACGCATTTGCAAATAAAATATTTGCGGCGAAGTTCCCTAAGGCGAATTAGAGGACTGTTTGATGTGCGAGTTTGTGTACGTTCATACTTGAATCTAAGGCGCCTTAACTTCAATCTCAAAGGTGAACTGTCCGTAACGCTGAGCATTTAATTCGCAGCATCTAGCATTAAGCGCGATGCACTCAGTGCATGGAGTGAAACACATAGATATAACAACACAGACGTATTTTATTGCGGGTGAGGCATTGTTTAATTACGGTGGAATGGTGTATATATGTTCTCCGCTAATCGGAAGAATTCGCCAAACAGGAATATTGCTAATGTGAGGAATGGAAGAGCTTGCTTTTTTTGTTCTTTTTTTTTTCAAGCGAATCGAACATTGCAGCGAAGGCCATTTGGACTTTTCTGGGCGCAATTTCAGTACCGCAGACAACGTGTGTCTTGTGTTTGCAGCATACAACATCTGCACTTATTTACGTCAAAAGGTGTGATACCTATACAGAAAAAGTAGAGAAAGAAAAAGTCTGCCGATACGGAATAAGAAATTCGACATTGCGCATCAAAGCGGGTGATTCTACTTTTGTCACTAATTGCGCTGCTGTTTGCGCAGGAAGAGCTACTTCCGAGTCTGCAGCAGCCACGTTCACGCAAAACAAAAATCTTCCGACAACAGCTAAAATACACGAGGCACTGAGACGCGTGCATTTGTTCCCGTACATTTTCTACGGGACGCGCGCATTGTGCGGTCGACAACAACGCTCGCACACGAATCTTGATCGATGGCCAGAATAATCCAAACTTGTACCTCCTCTACCCGCAGTGCCACAGGACAATGGTGCAAAGTCATGAGCGAGTGTGATGAAAGGGACCACCATGCGCCGCAAGAAATGTGCGCGCGGTGTCTACGTTGCACACAACATAGAAGAAAAAAAAAGAGCACGGCTTTCGTGGTGCAAGAGCCACTGCGTAGGTTTCTCCAACACCTGTACTGGCAGGGGGCGCGGCGACTGGAACGTGAGTGGAGGGTCACAGTGGACGCGCACTCTGTGAGCTGCCAGTGTGTGCGTCTGAACCGGCCTCCTTTTTATTTTATTTTATATGCGGAATGCGCCGTCCGTGCTGCAAGCTTCACACGGCGCCGAACGAAGAAGCCGTAGTTAACCTTCAACGCCGCCGAAGAAACCGCTACCCCGCGTGGCGCAGATAACGTGCCGTCTCCAAAAAGCCCACTTGTACGTTACGCGCGAAACCGGACTTGCAAATCGGAATCGCCAGAGCGGCGCACTTCGTTCGTATGCGGCACGGTGACCGAGAACGGCGTTACGTACGACGAGCAAAGCTAGAAGCTACACAGAGCGAACGCCCTTCCTTGCGTATAGGGCGACGAAAGAGCATTTAACCAAAGTCAATTTCTAGTAGTCGCTATCTACTACGTGAACGGAAAATATAGGCTTCTTCCGACTGGGGCAGAGAGAGAGAGAGAGAAGAAAGTGAAATATGCGAAACACTGTATGAATGTTTAAGGAGCGCGATTAACAACAACGCGCAGATGGTGCTTGCGCAGCCTTGTGCATGACATTTGCGACGGTCCTTCAAGCCAGTGTTGCGGAATTATTAGATGCGGAGCATCTTATACTCGCGCCTTGTAGTGCGCCGTCCGCACCGCTTCTCAAACATTCGACAGCTGACGCGCGCGCATGCGCCGTCGCGCCGTCGCCCACTCTTCCACCATCTGTGCATCCCTTCCTCCTCTACACACCGCGTTCGACATCTACAATTCTCCTGATTCTCCAGTGGACGCGCATGTGGCGTCGCGCTTCGAGAACATTCAACAGCTGACAGTGCATGCGCCGTCGAGCTGTATATATACTCAAGGTCGGCGCTCGCTCGCTCAGTTGCCGCTCGTCGGTTGGTTTGTACGGCGCGTCGACGTCCAAGGTCGCGGTGAAATGAATTCCAACGAATCCACAAACACAATGATCGACGTCCCTTCGACCAGCGCCGCCCTTTCGCATACGTGTGTACGTGTTCACTCATTTAACACCCCCTCCTACAACCACGTTAACCAATTTAGCCATCGACCCAAGTAAGTCGCAATTTAACACCCCATTTCACAACCACGTTAACCAATTGAGCCATCGACCCAAGTAAGTCGCACTTTAACACCCCGTTAACCAATTATATGGTCCGCATCCTCCTCAGTGTTCCCCCGAGGGAAGCTGCGGGCAATTTTCTCTTCCGGACAGGCACGAACGAGAATCATTTTCATGACGTCCGGATGCTCTTTCCTGTTATTTGTCCCTTTTAGGTTCCTTTGAGCTATACCATGTATCTTCATAATCCCGTTACGTAAGCACAACGTTGGGTGATCATAGCGCTGGCACGCAGAACAGCGCAGGGAAAGAAAAAAGTAAAAGAAAAATTCCTAACGAGAAGTGAAGCCCCCTTTTTTCTTTCCCACCGGAAAAGAAAAACGTATTGTTGTGATCGGCCCCCATGTCTGGGCGCCGCTTGGACGCGTGGAATGGTTCCGGCTTCGCAGCGCGTCCGGAGACGTCCAGAATCGGCAACAACACAGCAGTAGTACTGCGAATTCCTTGGAGTCGTCGGCTCGTCTTGCCAAAAAGCCCTTTGGGCACGCACGACCGACAGATTACCGGGGGGGGGGGGCTGTTCGCTGTCTGGGCTGCCTAGAAGGAGTGGTCATTGCTTGGGTCGTCAACATTCAGCGGACAATGAGCCGAGCGCTTTGTATTCATCTTCGGGGACATTCCTCACGTTCCATGGCGCCTTTCCCGAGCGATGTTTCCTCGAAGAGTCATCTCGGCGCGTCCGACGCCCCGTTCTCGCACTGTGCCAGTGGTGTCGTGTATTGTGTGTGTTACACCCTCGCCGGGCAGCGAACTGGGCGGGCCTCTCCTCCCTTCCCAGG